GTCCCTCATAGCAGGTAGCCAGGTGGCCTGACATCGTTTGGCAAAGGAGCGGACATCCAGAATACCCACAGCGCACCCACATACACCCAGTTCATCCTCCAGAACCAAGCTGTACTCTGGGCACAAGGCCAGAGATGCACCCAGACACCTGAAACACAAACACACACCAGAAAGAGGCTGATATTTCTCATATACCTCAGGACTGCAAAACATTAAGGAATTACATTTTAGTACAACCTCCTGTTTTTCTTGTATTTTCTTAAAGAATGTGTTTTCCCTTTATATACAGTACCATTCAAATGTTTGGGGTTGATACAGTTTTTTAATGTTTTAGAAAAACGTCTGCCAAGGCTGCATTTATTAGTAAAAATAGCAATATTGTGAAATATTGTTAACATTTTTAATTCATATTTTATTTTAATATATTTTTAAATTAAATGTATTCCTGTAATGGCAGGTCTGATTGTTCAGCAGCCATTATTCCAGTCTTCAGTGTCACTTTTTTTTTTTGTTGTAACATTATAAATGTCTTTACTGTCACTTCATCTCAGGAATCAGTGACAATGAGAAGATATAGTTTGTGCTCAGATGGAAGCATCTACTGAACAATAAACATCAGAACATTTTATATAGGGGCTGTGATATGCTTGAGAGCAATTCTTGCCTGTCCCCAATGAAATCTGGATGGGAGATGGCAGCATCCTGGCTCCCTTTACCCCTCTGATGCAACTGACGCACCATTCGGTACAGCTCCACCTAGAGTTGTGGGGGAAAAAAACAATGAGAAGAGTCAGAAATGGGTAATGAGATCGAGTCAATTGGTTACCAAGTGTGCTCGAGTCACCTTGTCTTTTTGCTGGAATGGCCGTATATTATAAAGTCGAGAGGTGGGGAACAGAGGGGGAGGGTGACTGAACAACTCAGTGCTGGTCCCCATAGGCAGAAGCATCTGATTCACACCAACACCAGAGGCAGACAAAACAAGAACAAGACAGGAAAAGATCAAGGAGACTGTGAAAAAACTGCAACAAATCAATCTGGCCCTTTAACCTAATCTAATGTCATTTGTAACTGAATCATTGATTATATCATTCTTACCTGCACCTCTCCAGATAGTCCTCCTTTAAACACCCATGGCTCTGCCTCCACGCCATGGAGCTCCGCCCCTGAAGAAGCCCCACACCCTGTGAACAATTCCAAACATCAAGAGTGCCAATCCACTGCAGGAACCAGTAGGTTTAAACCAGGGGTGCCCAAACTCGGTCCTGGAGGGCCGGTGTCCTGCAGAGTTTAGCTCCGACTTGCCTCAACACACCTGCCTTCAAGTTTCTAGTATGCCTAGTAAGAGCTTGATTAGCTGGTTCAGGTGTGTTTAATTGGGGTTGGAGCTAAACTCTTCAGGACACCGGCCCTCCAGGACCGAGTTTGGGCACCCCTGGTTTAAACAAATCATTTTGTGTTACTTAACTGTGAACACATTCAAATGTGTCATATTTCAGTTGGTTCCAAGACAGATTTTAATGTGTTTGACACTAATGTGACATTTTTTGATGTGCCATATTTTTGATGAACCATATTTGAACATACTACTGTTTGAATACACTACTGTTCAAAAGCTTGGAGTTGGTAATTTTTTTTTATATTTTTGAATTGGTCACTAAGGCTGCATTTATTTGATATAAAATAAAAACAGCAATATTGTGAAACATTATTACAAATTACAATCACTTTTTTTCCTGTTTTCATATATCTGCAAATCTAATTTATGCCTGTGATTGCAAAGCTATGATATGCTCATTTGGTGCTCAAAAAACATTTTTATATTATTATCAATGTTAAAAACAGCTATGCTGCTTAATCATAAAGGTTTGTTTTCCAAAACTCTTTATTGAATAGAATGTTGGACAGAAATAATGTTTTGCAACATTATGTCACTTTTGATCAATTTTATGCACCCCTGCTAAATAGAAGTCTTTTTTTAATTTCTTTAAAAAAAATCTTACTAAAAACAGTCATTTGAAAAGCAGTGTAAACTAACATGAATCAGATTTGAGAGCTGCAGCACAGCACAACATTTCTGAACATTTCTACATTTCTTTCTTTTCTTCACACAAAGCTAGTATAGACTTCAGAAAACTAAATATGAAGAAATTAATATGCTACAGTGTATAGGATGTATGTTTAACACTCACAGTGGAAGCAGTTCTTCCAGGAGCCTAGTGGAGAACCTTCACTCAGTATACGTCCCTCTGTGAAAGGAAATATGCTTGTGAGAAGATGGGAGATGAGTTCCTCACTTTTTATTTATCACATGAGGGGAAAAGGCCTACATGAGAAGACAAGATCATCCCTACTGTCTCTCTCACCTAGCCAGCAGATGAAAGCCTTGGCCACCAGCAGGGTGTTTCTCAAGTCCCAGATGTAAGGGTAAAGGTCGTAGAGAACAGCCCTATTGATGCTGTTCACAACGGCACCGTGCAGTAAAGCCACATCATCACACGCAGCCAGGAAACGGCCCGCACGGTCCCGCCATTCCTCTACCTGAGAGAGCAAAAATGAACAACAAAAACCTCAACCAAATACCACTTTCATGATGAATCATTACTATAATCTCTCAATATCATCAACTTTATTATAAACAAATCAAATGACAAGTGAATTAATAGTGAATAAGGATCTTTTCACCTTCTGTGGCGAGGCCTTCTTGCCATTGCCATTCACACTGACGCAGTGACAGTTGGCTTTGAGCCATGTGAGGTCCTGCAGCAGATTCTGAGCAGGTGGTCCATGTTCATGAGGCAGGTAGTACAGGCCTACAAGCAACTGGACCTGGGCCTCGCTGAGAGGAACCCTCCCAGAACACAATCCCCTTCTAGAGGTCTTTTCATGGCTGAAGCTCCTGGAGACCTGGTCCTCCCCAGCTTTCAGATCCTGGCTCATAAGAGGGTCTGCTGGGATTTCATCGCTAGCGAGAGCCCCTGTGCTCCGGGAAGAGGTTATGGGACATTTGGGCTGGGCTCCACGTTGCTTGTCTGAGCTATCAGAGGACTTTGATTTAACAGAGAGCATTAAGGGCTTGAGGTCTGTTGGCCTCACTTGACGTCCTAAAAGAAACAGTGAGCAATAATTGGACACAAAATTCGATTCGTGTCAGCACTTACAACAGATTCTTTGTGACAATAATCAATAATCAGTTAATAATCAATTAAAACTCAAGAAAATTAGCTGAAATAAAATAAGTTTAAGTACCAAAATTAGTTAAATAAATAATAAACAGAAATTAAAGCTCAAAAGAAATATATATATATATTAAAAAAAACACAATACAACTAATAAAAGACAAAAGCAAATAACATTACTAAACTTTAAACTAAAAGGAAAATGAAAATAAAAATAAAATATATAAAAATATAAAAAATAAAAGCTAGTTACAAATATTACTAATTACTATAAATAGCACTAAAAATGTTCATAAAATAATAAAATGTTAATAAAAATGTTTTCAGTCATTATTACATTTTATGAAATAACAAATAAACATTTTCATATATTTAATGTACATAAATCACTTTTCAAATTTACAAATAAATTTGAGTTTTTTTTTTTTAATAGATGTTTCAGGATGCTTTACCAGGCTGCAGAGGAAGGCTGAGCTCCTTCATCCAGCCTTGCAAGGCAGATGACAACGCTCTATCCACACTATAGGCCTCTTCATTTCCTACAGAGGTTATACTAGGTCAGCAAGGGGCAGAATATTTCTTTATACTCCTATTGAGTGCTTCTGTATGTTTGTTCATTCAGTGTTTAAACGCTCTATGTTTTTACATTAATGAATTTACAGTAGCAGATGCTTTTATACAAAACAACTTACATTCCATTCAAGATATACATTTGATCAGATTTTGCATGCCCTGGGAATCAATCTCATAATCTTAACATATCTACATCCATACTACAATATTTAAGCCTCTCTATCCTCCATTCTGCTCTCACCTTTCCCCTCCTCCTTTCCTTCTTTATACCAGCTTCCCAGGGTATGCAGAGGGATGAAATTGGCTTCAAATTCGCAGTTTGGATTTAGCAGCAGACCCCTCAGATGGGCCCTGAGTCCAGGGGGGCGGCCCTTAAAAGGCCCCAGGAAGACACGTCGGGAGTCATAATCATTAGCATGAAGGTTGTCCCAAATGAGGGGTGGCCTTCGAAGCACCGATTGGACCTCAGCTAGTGATTCAGGACTCAGTTCCCGTGATATCACCTTATTTCCTATAGGAGAATGATGTGACCAAATATGTGAATGTTAGAAGTATGGTTTCTGTAACAAACTGACACTCAGTGAGTGTGAATTTTTTAAGGACACACTGAAAATGTATCTCACCGGTCCAGATGACAGAGATGCCAGGGAGAAGATCCTCCCCAATTGTCAGCAGGTAGGCAGACTTTGACACGCTAGGAGTGCACAGAGAACTACAGTACTCTAGAGAGAAAAGAAATAACAGCACAGTACTGTTTGGGGGAAAGAATGAGAGAACAATGTAAGAAAAGGCACAGAGAATGACAATGAGGTTTGAAGATGGGTAGTGTCAGATCATCCAAAATGTAGATCAATTTATTTCTTCATTGAAACGGATTTGGAGAAGTTTACCATTATTGCATTACATCACTTAGAAAAACGTCTGCCAAGGCTGCATTTATTAGTAAAAATAGCAATATTGTGAAATATTGTTAACATTTTTAATTCATATTTTATTTTAATATATTTTTAAATTAAATGTATTCCTGTAATGGCAGGTCTGATTGTTCAGCAGCCATTATTCCAGTCTTCAGTGTCACTTTTTTTTTTTGTTGTAACATTATAAATGTCTTTACTGTCACTTCATCTCAGGAATCAGTGACAATGAGAAGATATAGTTTGTGCTCAGATGGAAGCATCTACTGAACAATAAACATCAGAACATTTTATATAGGGGCTGTGATATGCTTGAGAGCAATTCTTGCCTGTCCCCAATGAAATCTGGATGGGAGATGGCAGCATCCTGGCTCCCTTTACCCCTCTGATGCAACTGACGCACCATTCGGTACAGCTCCACCTAGAGTTGTGGAAAAAACAATGATTAGAGTCATAAATGTATAATGAGATGTTAATCAATGGGTTAACAAGTGTGCTTGAGTCACCTTGTCTTTTTGCTGGAATGGCCGTATATTATAAAGTCGAGAGGTGGGGAACAGAGGGGGAGGGTGACTGAACAACTCAGTGCTGGTCCCCATAGGCAGAAGCATCTGATTCACACCAACACCAGAGGCAGACAAAACAAGAACAAGACAGGAAAAGATCAAGGAGACTGTGAAAAAACTGCAACAAATCAATCTGGCCCTTTAACCTAATCTAATGTCATTTGTAACTGAATCATTGATTATATCATTCTTACCTGCACCTCTCCAGATAGTCCTCCTTTAAACACCCATGGCTCTGCCTCCACGCCATGGAGCTCCGCCCCTGAAGAAGCCCCACACCCTGTGAACAATTCCAAACATCAAGAGTGCCAATCCACTGCAGGAACCAGTACATCACTTGCTCACCAATGGATCCTCTGTAGTGAATGGGTGCCATCAGAATGAGAGTCCAAACAGCTGATAAAAGCATCACAATAATCCACAAGTAATCTATGCAACTCCAGTCCATCAAATAATGTCTTGTAAAGTAAAAGTTGTGTGTTTGTATTAAACAAGTCCATCATTAAGGCATTTTTAACTTCAAATCATTGCTTCCTCAAGTCTAGTCTGAATCAGGAGAGAAATATGCAGAGATCAAGCACTGCTCACAAGCGAAAACCATACAAAACTGTTCTAAACAAATATGTTGGTGAATTTTGATGTGAGAGGACAAAAGGGGATTAGTATAGATTATGGATTATGGATATTTTGGCCAGAAGCTATAGTTTAAAGTGAAATGCCTCAATGAATTATTTGTTTCTTACACAGTTTTTACTTCACAAGATGTTAATTGATGGACTGGACTCGCTGTTTGGACTCTCATTCTGGCGGCACCCATTCACTGCAGAGGGTCCATTTGTGAACAAGTGACGTAATGCTAAATTTCTCCAAATCTTATGAAGAAACAAACTCTTGTACATCTTGGATAGCCTGAGGGTTAATAGATCTTAAGCCGATTTACATTTTTGTTTGAACTATTCCTTTAAGGTAACATTTAGTAAATGTGTCACTTTATTAAACTGATTTTTGCTCTGTAATGAACTAAGCTTGACATATTTATGTATTAGCTTACCAGTGGGACAGAATAGGAAGACAGGTGGGTCCCCCAGGAAACGGAAGATCTCATTGGCCACGGTAACCTGGGCGTGAGCGAATGAGGAAAAGGCCTCTGTATCTGACTGGCACATGGAGTGATCAATGTCATCAAATAGGAGGGCAAAAGCCTGACAGCCCAGGTCTGACACCTAGTGGAGAAATAGTGGCATTCATGAACTAACACATATTAGTCAGACAGAACAACAGTTGTGCAAATGTGTCTTTGATCACAAGAAAGCGCGATGAAAATGAGAGGGAGATGTAGTGAGTTTGCTTACTTGTCTGAGTTTGCGTTTAAGCAGTGTGAGGTCACAAGAGCTGGAGAAGACGATGTCCTGACCCGGAGAAAGACCGTATACAAATGTCAGACCCCTCGACTCTGCCTCACACACCAAAGCGGTTAACTGAGCTGGAGACAGTGACAGAAAGATGGAGAGAGAATGAAAACGTGAAAGGTTTTCAGGTGTGATACGGCCCTAAAAACACAGAAATATAGTGCCACAATGGTGCCACAAATACCATACGAGAATCACACTATTTTCTAACAATACTCATGAGTCGTTATTTGTTATACTGAATGCAGGCAAAAATGTATCATTTTATATAGTTAATTATCTGAAAAAGGCATTTGGGTTAAGATATGAAAGCCTAACACACAGCAGCAGCTCACACCAATAACTGAATGCCATATAATGGTAAAATATAATTTGTGTTTGTATAATAATACGATTAGGTGCCATTTAGGAATTTTGTTCTTAGAAATACATTTTAACAATCTCTGCTAAGACGACCAAGCATTTATATTCTGATTGCTCAGATTATGTTTTCTAGATATTAATATTTTTGGGACGTAACAGGCAGTAATAATAAAAAATAATGAAAGCCTTTAGCTATACAAAGATCAGTAAATGAAATTAAAATAGACAGATTAAATAAACACTTTAACCCAGTGCTTCTATATACTGTAATCTGAAATATCTAAATACTGGGTATAAATAAATACACATACCCTCTTCCTCTGCTGAATAAACCTCCCTCCACAGTAACCTGTGCTTCAGATCATCTTTAGGACCATACAGATATGTGTTCAAACTCCACATCTGCATCCTGAAAGGGACAATAGGGAACAGGTGCATTAAGAGACAAATCATATCAGTGGATTTTCAATCATGTTTTGAGAATATTGTGTAAGAAGAGAACAAGGCACAGGAGGGAGAAAGAGAGAGAGAGAGACAGGCAGAAAATAGAGACATTCATTGATCTTGTATCATTAATAATATAAGGGGATGCATTTCCTGCAGGGAATGAGTGTGAGTTTAACAACAGCAAAAGGTCGATTCCTCTGCAGAGGAAAAAAGTGAATGGTCTGCCCCTCTATGAATTTCAACCTATTTATGAACAAAAACAGTTTAACTGCAGTGTGATATTTGAGTGTTGTTCTTAATATAATAATTACGGTCGCAATGACAATGGCCTCTAAATAAATATTAAATGAAGACCATGATTACTGCACAAAATGCGCACTATTACCAATACAGAGATTTAACTTGAACTTTCAAGTCCCATGGGAACTTTTGTGATGTAAAGGTCAAATTAAAACATTAAGAAATCTTGAGAACTTCTTACCATGCTTTTATAATTTATTTTTGCTTCTTTTTTTTTTTAAATGGCTTTAAGATTTTATTGCTGCATCCATGCCCCAGATTAATTAACAATTTTACAATCTACATAATGAGTGAAGTAATCCTTTTGCAATTTTCCCTTTAAAAATATCAAAAGTTATTATACTTGGTAACCAACATGTCAATGTGGAGTAAATTCCATAATGTAAAATATCAAATAAAAGAGCTGAATTACAATATCAATATGACTAAAATATAGATATTTGAATTATGCATAGTGTAGAATCAAGTTGTACATTTGCCAAAATTATTGTAAAAAATATTATTTAAATCTACTAAGCAAACTGGCACTGTAGTGGTAATCATGATGTTTAGCCTATATAGCGTTGGACATTGCTAGTGGACATTAAATAAACTAGCGTGAAAACTAGTGTTGAAAGTGTTATAGGAGTTTATTTTCTAAAACTCAACAAGACAAGTACTCTAGACTACTGTGGTCTGTAAGATGATTGTTTCAGAGGATGGGTTTCTTCCAGATTAACGTCTTAATCAAGATCTCAGACAAAAACTGAGTTAACTATACATGAAATATTACATCTTTGCCTACCATAGAATGAGTGTGTCTGTGTGTGCGTCTCAGGAGAAAAGCAGACTCCCTAAATAGATTGAGGCTAGTGCTTGTCTAAAATATTAAAGAACCTCGCCAAAGGTTAACCTCAAGCAAGCGTGTGCACACACTCACTCA